AGGTACGGTACGTTGGGGTGGGCGAGTCTGCGCAGGCCGGCCCCCCTGCTGCGCCCGGGCTGTGGCTGTGTGGAGCGAGCAAGCGCAGAGCGCTGCCTGGTCCCAGCCCAGGGGAGGAGGGAGGAAAAGGATCGCTTGCTCACTCTTAACCTCGCCTCTCTGCTCGGGTCTCGCTCCTTTTCACTTCTGCTGTTTTCTCTTTTTGCCATTTTTTGGAGAGGCGGGGAGACTTCTCTTTTTCTTCTCCCGTGAGAAGCTCCTTTAAAAACTCGGCCTCCTCACCGTGGTATATACACAAGGAAAACTCAGACGGAAGAGGAAGGTGTAGGAAGCCCATTAGCTCTTCCTCTGGGGGGACCGGGGGAGTCGTGTCCAAGTCTGAGCACTGCAGTTTTTAGTCCCTGGCGATGGCTCTGTTCTCTGCATGGTTGTTTCTGTGGGTTGAGTCTTGTGTGGGGCACCGATGTGGCTGCTGCTGGGAGAGGGGAGTTTTGTCCAAGACTTTGTGAAAGATTGGCATTGAGATCTTGGGTGAGGCTTTAGTCCCAGTTTTCTCTCCAGTAAATCAGAGCTGTTATCAAGATACAGTCATGGGGGTGAAAGGTCAGTGGTCTGTAGAAAGAAAAGGCCAAAACCAAATTCCAGGGGTGCTTCCATATCTGCAACACACAAGGGGAGTGTGCAAAGCTGTGAACTTCGTGGGGTTGTGGCCAGCTGTGCTGCATTTCCTTTTGTTCAGGCAAGCAGAGGCTTAAAGCGAAAAGCCGAAGTCTGAGCTAGCAGTGGACATGGGGGAACTGTTTTGTTTGTTTCAATTGGCATCTGAAATGAGTCATTGCCACTTGCCATGGTGAAATGGCAAATCTCGGCTTCCTGTGGTTCCAAGTCTGGGATTGGAAATCCACAAGACAGCTGGCAGTTGAAAACCAGTTGAAGGACAGCCGGGGTATTCCAGAAATGTTTGAGGACCTCTTCCATGAAGGAAGAGGAGTCGCTAAACTTCATGTGTCTTCAACATTCTTTTTCCAAGGAGATGACCAAGGAGCTCTGGCTAGGACCGCGTTAGTATCTCTGTCTTTACCCATCTTGAGTTAGGATGGGGAGAGGAGGAGGGAGCTTCTTCTTCTGTCCTGTGCCTTCCCGCATGTCCTTCCCCCATCCCGACTCACGCACATGCACACACAACCTTGAAGCCGATGAGCTTGAGTGACTGGCATTTGGGACCACAGAGAAATGTCAGTGTGTCTGGTTACAGACTCAAGGAAACCTCTCATTTTAGAGTGCTCACTGGGTAAGACTCAGCCGCCTGGAATGGAGGAGCAGAGTTATCTGCGTGGGGGAAGGAACTTAAAAATGAGATTCACCCACCTCAGGGTGCTGCCTTGCATGTTCTGCAGCACGTAGGCCAATTTGGATAGAGGACAGGAATCCGAGCCAGGAGACCTAGGGCCAGGCCGGTAACCATCTACACGACCCAACATGACCTCCCTGGGCCTCAGGCCCTTTTCCCCGGAAAATAGCTCTAAAGAGCTAAGCTTTCTCAAATGGAGAAAGAGAGTTCCCAGAGGATATGGTTTGTTTTATTCACAACCCACATAAAGCAGAGTCTTATACCTATGCCTTGCCTGAGTTTTGTTTTAGAGAAACCGATTTGGAGAGAGTACATATTTTATTAAATCTCTCTAAGGTTTAGTGCTCCCCGGCCGGTTCTCAGCTAAACCTCACAGTTAAATCTTTCACCAGGAGGGAGAAGTACACACTGGAAGCTATGGCACTCTGACTGGTCATAGTCCAGAGAGGGAAGGGAGAGGAAACTTTGGGAAAGAGGGCAAAGATACTCCAGGAATGTGAAGACATGCCATCCTAGGCTGCGTTCGGTAGACTCTGTATCCTGTCTTACATGTTCCAGAGAGTCAGGAAATACTGCCTACTTCTTTGTCCTAGGCAAGCTACTTGAACCCTTGGGTCAATTTCGTCACCAGTAAAATAAGGATAAAGATATTGAGTCTTTCAGCCTCATGGACTCATTCTAAGACTTGAAAGATAATATTTTAGCAGGTTTTGAGTACTGTCCAGTGTTTTTAGCCTCTGAAGAAATATTATCACTGATAGTGAAAGGAATGTTTTTCTTATTGCTTCTTTCCCAGAAACTCAAATGGCCCTTGGACAGTTTGAACATTTTACCTTGAGAAAGGAAATCTGTATGTCCCTGCAGTTAACGTACGCAGCAGCATTCCCAGTACTCTGGGTGAAGACGTTAGTGTCACAGAGCTTTGAGTGCCTGCTGTTTCTGTAAGAGCAGAACTGGAATATGTTTGCTAGCTTGTGGTGAAACCGCACCAGCTGGCAGGCTGCAACTATCAAAGCAATATGAAAAACGTGTGTCTTAAAATAAGACTATAGTGAGTGGACAATCTTACATTCATTAAATCAATTTCTGTTTGCTCTCTTCTCTTTTTTGCAGTTTTTAAGCAAGATTTTGCACTGTGAAGCAAGGCATTGGGTAAGTAGATGTAATTATATGCTTTAACATTTTGTGGACAAACTGTTCCTTTTTAATTCTGCCAAAGCATGCGTTTCTGTGAACTTTGACATCTTTTGTTTGAAGAGACAAAGATAAGCAATTCCCTCTATATTTCTTCCAGCCCCTGTCCCCTTCCCCCTGCATGACGTTTTAACACTGTTTTATGGTCAGTTATTCCCTGACTTGTTTCTTTATTCAGACTAACTCTGCTGCTACCATGCCCTAAGGATGTGCTGGTGCTAGGTATTTCAAATACAAAGCAAAACTACTCTGAGGCCCAATAACGGAGAGAGACAGAGTATGGCTGGGATAATGAAATTAGATTTTGATGAAAATAGCTATAATTTTTTTTGGTGGGGAGAACTTACTATAGTCTAAGCACCTATCTCTGATGTTTAAAACAACAACTATAGCTATTACTGTTCCCATTTTGGAAAAGCAAATCCCAGAAAGAGTAAATAACCTGGCCCAAGCCACACAGCTGGCCAAAGGAAAAGCTAGCCCGGTAGCCCTCAAAATAAAGTTTCTCTCCATTGTAACACACTTGCTGGCTCTTGGTGCTTGGCAGAGTATTTCGTGTGTGGGAAAAACATTCAGCAAACTCTTTGCCTCCTCCTTCCCCCTACACAGCTTCCTATATTTTATAGCTCTGAAGAGTAATACCCAGAGATAGGTTATGAGCTTTTCAACGATCAAACACACGAAACCGGAATTGTTGCCCTACCTCAGCAGGCTAAGCCACCTGCTTGGTCCCCCTGGTAAGGACGGTTCCTGAGAACTAAAAGGATTTTGACTTCTTTTGTTCAGGTGAAGACAAAATGGCCTCACCGGCTGACAGCTGTATCCAGTTCACCCGCCATGCCAGTGACGTTCTTCTCAACCTTAATCGCCTCCGGAGCCGGGACATCTTGACTGATGTTGTCATTGTGGTCGGCCGTGAACAGTTCAGAGCGCATAAGACAGTCCTCATGGCCTGCAGGTGAGGGCCTGCAAAGGAAGGAAGGGTAACTACTAGCACGGGAATGGAGGTGCTGGCAGCCAGCGAGCGGAATGAGCAGACCTCTTGCTACTTGTGGGCTGATGTCCCCCGTGTGTCCAGGTCACAGAACACAGCCTGGCTTTGTAACTCCCAGGAAACTAATGGCTAAATATGCTTTTCAAAAGGAAAAGAGTTTCTATTCCGTGGCCATAGTGGGGGAAGAGTTTGTAGACTTCCACAAGAAAGAATGTGTCTGGGACAAACAGGGAGAATGACTTCAGTTGACCAGGGGAAAGGAAAAAGAGAGTCTTACCAGGCGTGGTGGTGCACACCTGTAATCCCAGCACTCAGGAGGCTGAGGCAGGAGGATCGCTGTGAGTTCAAGACCAGCCTGGGCTACACAGTGAGTTCCAGGGCAGTCTCAACTACATAGTGAGACCCTGTCTCAAAAAACCAAAAAAAAAAAAACAAACAAAAGAAAGAAACAGAGAATCTTTAACTAAATTAAGCAGATTGATCTGCAATTTCTTGGTCTTTTGGGCTGTAACTATATATTTTATACTATAACTGTGTCACCATGGGTGTTCAGAATACGTTAGGCATTTGAGCGAGACAGTTAATTCTTCATATTGGGCAAGTTGTTCAAGTTTTCAGAGCAACATTATATTAAATCATCTCCCTACATCTTCCTGGTAGCCTTCCTTGCTATAGATGCACTATATCTCCATTTTGTGGGTGACAAAAGCAAGGCACAGGTAAAACGATGTAGACAGAGACATCCCTGTTGTGGTTGGAAAATGTATGCAATTTTTACAAGAACTTTCTTTTTCTTTTAAGTAATGGAGAGAACTGAAAATCACAGGGATATAAAAATAATAGCTAATGTCTGGCAAGGCTCAGCGCAGGCCAGGCACCCTGCTAGCCCTGAGACACATTCATTGTTGCCATAAGTGTTTAAAGCAGGCGTTATCATTCCTGCTTGTTTACAGGTAAGGAAGCCAAGACGCAGAGACGTTAAGGGTCTTAGCCAAGGTAGTTATTTATTGGTGAAAGTCTGCCTCACCATCTAGAAGGAGTGTAAGTGAGATGACGACCTAGAATTTTAGCTTTCAATTCAGTACCTTCTTCAGCTGAGTACCAGGTTGTCTCCACTAGACAACTTGGGACCTGGGGACATGGCTTGAGGTTTCTACTGGAATCGGCTGGGAATAACTGACCTTCTGACTGTCTGTGGATTGTAGCAAAGCGGTAAAGTGCAGTTATAGGCATATTTTTTTTTTAATTTACTTGGCAACCATATCCAACTGACTCCTTAAAAAAAAGATTTTTAAAAAGAAAGATAATGCAATGCAACAAGTAGGGAATTACTTATACCAAAGATGCAGACTAAGAATAGTTACTGCCAATGTGTACTAAATTTAACTCTGCCAATCCACACAGTTCAGACTAAAACCAAAACAAGCCCCGTGACTTTGAGAATATTACTTAGCCGCTGAGATCTCAGTTCTCCCACAGAAAAAGGTGGAGAGTGGCGGTGCCTACCTTCCAGGAACGCAGGATAATGACGTATGTAGAGGATGTAAGGAGTTCGGGCACTGGGGACACGCTCCATAAATGTGGGTCACAACCGATAGTGGTGAAAGAGCCAGAGAGAAGCCCCGGGTAGTGAACTGAGCGGCTACCAATGCTCACAGGTTTGCTGTTTCCACAAGAGCGGATCCTGTGTTTGTTTTACAGTGGCCTGTTCTACAGCATCTTCACAGACCAGCGGAAGTGCAACCTCAGTGTGATCAATCTGGATCCCGAGATCAACCCTGAGGGGTTCTGCATCCTCCTGGACTTCATGTACACGTCTCGGCTCAACCTGCGGGAAGGCAACATCATGGCCGTGATGGCCACCGCTATGTACCTGCAGATGGAGCACGTTGTGGACACTTGCCGGAAGTTTATCAAGGCCAGGTAAGCTGCCACCTAGGTGCAAGACTTGGAGGCAGAAGAGGTGGTTCTCGAGAACCCCTTGATACCTCGTGCTTGTGGAAAAACTTGGTTCTCCGTGCTACGCCACAGCCTCCATTCCACTGTTATCGCACGCTTTTGACTTTCACCTTCCAGGCAGATATAACGCCCCACAGCTGTCCAGATAAGCCCTGTGCATTGCCCCCCGCTGTTGCCTCCCAGTCACTTAATATGCCCTTTCTTCTCATCCATCCTGCCAGACCAGGACTGGATAATTGCCCCTCCGTGTGGAAGTTTTCCTGATTACCACTCTTCCTCTGTCAGCTCTTCCTCTATGTTCTGAGCACTCTGCTTATTCTTACACCTTCCTTGTCTTTTACTGTTTGCATATGTATTCTAGTTCTCATTTAGATTTCTGCCACGACTATTCATACGCATGCCTTAGTCCTTAGTTCCCTACCACACTCTGGGGTTGCCTCACTTATCTTTTAGGTCCCCTGCTGCTACTTAGGGAAGACACATGGGGAGTTAAATTGGGTTCACTGGGTACAAGTCCCTACCCAAGGGAAGGTAAGACATAATCCTCATTGGAAGGTGAGGAACCTCAAGGACAAAGAAGTCAAGAGCTTTGCTGAGTGGAACAGAGACTTGGGGCTTAATTTTCTGAACCATTTGACCCAGCTGCTCTGGGGAGATTGTACCCCTATTCCACAGAAGGGTTTTCCAGCCTGTGTTTGAGCTGAGCCCAGAACTCAAGTGTTCCTGGAGCTGCACAGCCCCCTTGGAGAGTCAGAAAGCTCCTCTTTGTGTTGAGTTGAAATCTGTCTCCCTAGTTTTAGCTCTGTCAACTGTGAGCATGTTGAGCTGGCCTATCCCCCCCACCCCACACACATAATAATGTCCCTTCAAGTGTCTACAGCAGAGTCTTTTGTCTCCTGTGGATGATAATGATAGTGAGATCATCGTGGCTGTCATTTATGGGCACTTTCTACAAGTCAGGCCCGTGCTAAGAATGATTAAATAACACGCTCCTGGTCCTACAGCTGCTCAAGAGCACAGGTGGGTTTGCAATCCAGGGCTTTTGCACTGGCGTTTCCTGCCCGTTCTTCACCATAAACTTTCCCACGAAGCCATCTAGCATATGGGGCAAGTTGTTCCTTTACTAGGGAACTACTTTGTTTATGACCCTCTGCAAGTATACTGTGCAAATTCTTCCCTCCTTTTTCCTATGTGTGTAAAATTCCTGCCTTTCCTTCCTTGCAGGATTTTGCATGCATGAACTGCGTGAGATAAGCGCTTTGAAAGCCACTGAATTCTCTAACTTCAGAAGAGTTACAAGTTCACAGATATGAATATAGATGTGCCTTACACTCAAAAACCATGTCTAATCAGCACAGATTGGATAAGTTGCTCCCTTCCCCGGGCCTCAGTTTCCCCCCACTGTAGGCTAGATGATCAGACTTCTCGTGTAGATGTCTTCTGTCTGCGTTTCCCTATTCCAGAGCCACGTTCCCTGCATCTCACTGACCCGCTCACAGATGTGATTATATAACCGTGTCCCTGGAAGGTCATTTGCTTAACAGTTCTGACCTTGTTCCCGGTGTTGTTCTCCCACAGTGAAGCCGAGATGGTTTCCGCCATCAAGCCTTCTCGTGAAGAGTTCCTGAACAGCCGGATGCTGATGCCTCAAGACATCATGGCCTATCGGGGTCGGGAAGTGGTGGAGAGCAGCCTGCCGCTGAGGAACCCTCCGGGGTGTGAGGGTAGAGCTTTTGCTCCCAGCCTGTATGGTGGCCTGTCCACGCCGCCAGCCTCCTACGCCATGTACAGCCACCTCCCGGTCAGCCCTTTCCTCTTCTCCGATGAGGAGCTGCGAGATGCTCGGATGCCTGTGGCCAACCCCTTCCCCAAGGAGCGTGCCCTCCCCTGCGACAGTGCCAGGCCAGTCCCTAGTGAGTACAGCCGGCCGGCTCTGGAGGTGGCCCCCAGCGTGTGCCACAGCAGCCTCTACTCGCCCAAGGAGACGGTGCCAGAGGAGGCACGAGGTGACATGCACTACAGTGTGACTGAGGGCCCCAAGCCTGCGGCCCCCTCGGCCCGGAGTGCCCCATACTTCTCCTGTGACAAGGCCAGCAAAGAAGAAGAGAGACCCTCTTCAGAGGATGAGATTGCCCTGCATTTCGAGCCCCCAAATGCGTCCCTGAACCGGAAGGGTCTGGTTAGTCCACAGAGCCCCCAGAAATCCGACTGCCAGCCCAACTCACCCACTGAGTCCTGCAGCAGCAAGAATGCCTGCATCCTTCAGGCCTCTGGCTCCCCTCCAGCCAAGAGTCCCACTGACCCCAAAGCCTGCAACTGGAAGAAATACAAGTTCATTGTGCTCAACAGTCTCAACCAGAACGCCAAGCCAGAGGGGCCCGAGCAGGCTGAGCTGGGCCACCTCTCCCCACGAGCCTACACTGCCCCGCCTGTCTGCCAGCCACCCATGGAGCCCGAGAACCTTGACCTCCAGTCTCCAACCAAGCTCAGTGCCAGCGGGGAAGACTCCACCATCCCCCAAGCCAGCCGGCTCAATAACATCATGAACAGGTGATTTCACAGGCTGGTAGGGTCTGAGCGCAGGAATCTCCTGGGGAGAGGCCTGGGTTTGTAGCTTGTGATGGCCACAGGGGCTGTGTGTGTTCTTCTTTTGCTGAAAATGCTGAGTCTCCTAAAGATGTGGAACCAGTGCCTACTGAGTGAGTCAGCCTACGTGAGGCAATATGTTTCACTTCAGTGTGCTTTTTACAAGACAGCTCATTCCCTTCCAAGGCAGAAGAGTCTTCTGCAAATTCAAATCAAAGGCACTTCCTGTGCTCTTGACAATGGCCACAGATCCTCCTTCTTCCCTGACTTAGCTCAGTGGTTCTGCCACTTGTGGAGTTCAATCCATGGTACCAAAAAATAAAACAAAACAAAACAAGAGAGGTGTTGGCTGCACTACCTAAGGAAAAACAACTGGGCCCAAGAGAGGGGTTTGGGCTCTGTTTGACGCTGCAGATGCTATTCTGAGGCAGCGATCAGAGGCCTCAGGGCCTTAGACTTGCCTGACCCAGAGAGGGCAGGACGCAGGGAATTGAAGTGGGTTGGCCCGCCCAGCCCAGGTGCTGAGGTTCTTTCTTCCTGTCTGCAGGTCCCTGACAGGCTCTCCACGAAGCAGCGAGGGGCACTCGCCTCTCTACTTGCACGCCCCCAAGTGCACGTCCTGCGGCTCTCAGTCCCCGCAGCATGCAGAGATGCGCCTCCACACAGCCGGGCCCACATTCCCCGAGGAGATGGGGGAGACACAGTCCGAGTACTCAGATTCCAGCTGTGGTGAGTCCCTTTCCCTGCCTCTGCTTTTTGGAGAGAAGGAATTGCCCCAGGGTTTTGTGTTTCCCTTTTATATGCGTTGTTGTCCAGAACCAGAAATGGAAATCCGTGACACATAACATCCCCGGTGGATGACCCTACTCTTCCCCTCTTGGAAAACCGGGGTGGCCAGAGCTGGGGATGAGGTATTGGAGTAAGTGGTGAAATCAAAGCAAAAGTAAAAGTTGAGGTAGCCAGGAAGCTGGCTCGTGCCCCCAGAGCTTGCCTTCTCTGCCATGCTAGGTCTGGGTTCTCTGAGGAGAAGCACTTGACCTCAGCCCTTCTAGCAATCTCTGTGGGTCCCAGTGAGGCCCTCGAAGGTAGGAGGCAACTGAGTGAAGTTAGTTGAACTGAATGGTGAAATGCATGTTTCTGGATAGTTGGTGATCCTCAGTTTTGGTTTAACTCTTCTCCCACTCTGGCTGTTGCTTTACGGCCCAGTCATACATCGTCAGGGTTCATTCACCGTGGCATGCCATTTTCAAACGCTTATAGCAAGAGGAAAAAGAAATCAGTTAGTTGCTCATTCAGAGAGATTTGACCCGGGATCACAGATTTTCAGTCAGGGGAGAGCAGGGACTGTCCCCTTCTGTCCCCCAGCTATGTGCCTTGCTCTGCATTCCAGTTCCCTTTTTTTTTCTAAGCCTCTTTCTACTTCCACTATCATCTTTAGTCTCCCAAGGTCACAGAAGTGTTTCGGAGACATAAAATCCAGAGAGGTGCAAGGATGAGCGTGGAGATGTCCTCCTCAACTCCTAGCTCAGTGACCTCAAAGTACACCCAGAATTGACCTGTATCTCACGTCCCCACAATGCTTTGTGATTTATTTTGTGTTATATAACATGTTCCTGTGGGGCAGGCAGGAGAGGGATTTATTATCCTGACTTGGAGATAGAGGGCAGAGAGAGGCTCAGAGAGGTCAGAGGCCTTGCCCCAGAGCTTCTGAGCATGCATGTAAACGAACTCTGTACTGATAAGGAAAGTGAGCTCTCAGAGGTCCTGAGACAAGGAAAAACTGTTGAGCCTCCTGCAAACTGGCTTAGACCCTCTGAACACTGTTGGTTTGCACTTCTCTCCTCTACCTTATTGTTCAGTCTGTCTCCTTTCTCCTCCATGCATGAGAATCTTAATGCTAAGAAAACTATAAAATCCTATCGGCAGGCTGGGGATTTAGCTCAGTGTTCCTGCCGCCTGCCTCACAAGTGCAACATCCCGGGTTCAATCCCCGGTACCAAACAAACAAAAAAACAAACGAAAAACCCATTGGCCGTTTTCTCTGAGCTCCCCTGAGCATTAGTTGGGGGCTCTGGGACTCTGCTTGGCACTAGGGTAGCTCCAGGAGAAGGACCCTTATGACCTCCCTCCTTACCTTCTTCTGACGTGGTGTCCCTCTGCCCCCCGACAGAGAACGGGGCCTTCTTCTGCAATGAATGTGACTGCCGCTTCTCTGAGGAGGCCTCGCTCAAGAGGCACACGCTGCAGACCCACAGTGACAAACCCTACAAGTGTGACCGCTGCCAGGCCTCCTTCCGCTACAAGGGCAACCTCGCCAGCCACAAGACCGTCCACACGGGTATGGCCCACCCCACCTCAGCCCTCCAGGATCCTTAGGGGAGGATGGCAGAGATCCTAGAGCCAGCAGCATGGGGCCTTGGGGTTCGCTTGGGTGATGCAGGGAGCAGGCCCTGTCCTGGCCCGAATGAGAAGCTCAAACCTGTTTTGTTTTGCTGAGGGCATTGTCCACTCCCCATATGCTGTGTCTTTCCTCTGAGGCTCTGTCCTGCTTCTCTGCCTTTGCTGGGGTCAGAAGGGTTATTCCCATCACACAGGAGAAGAAACTGAGGCTGATAGAGAGAAAGTGTCGTGTTTTCGTAAAGCCAGGGAAATGTGAAAGTCCTTTTAATGTCTTCCGGAGACTTGTTTCCTATCAGTTCACATTCCTTACCTGGTAGCTCCACACAACCTGATTGTTGTCCCCAGTTTACTCTCTTAGATCTTTCAGTGGCCTCCTCCCCCAGAAACTTTCCATGGAGGAAGGCGCAGCTCTTTGGTTGGGTTCCTCTGGCTGAGCTTCTGCTCAAACCCAGACCCCAGCCCGCTTGCAAATGGAGTACAGCGGTAGTGGCCACAGGCGGAGAAGCATGTTTGTTCTGAAAGGGAGAAACTAGAGCAGACCGAATGCATCTCCTCCCTGAGTCAGTGATCGGTGGCCTTGGTTTTATCCAATGGAGGAGGCAGAAGAACCTTCCCAGGTCCTCTGAATTAGCCTTGAAGATCCAGAGAGGGAAACTGAGGCCCGGAGAAGGGCAAAATCTTGCCCAAGTCCTGCAGGCAGGTGACCCCGGTGACAGCACTGGTCCTGAAGCCTGGGCTCCCTGAATCTGCCCCCTCTCACCCCATGCCTCCTTCTCCCCACCATGCCACTGCTTGTTCCTTGGGCCTGGTCCCCCGTAGGTGGCCAGTATGTGTGTGAGGAAGGGGGCCACCAGGGGCCGATCCTGGACCCTCTGCTCTCTACATCTCCCAAGAGTAAGGAAAGCATAGGCAGCCCCAGAGGGTGGGAGTTTGCCTGAAATCCATGGGAGACCTTTCCCGCTGACATGGCTTTCCTTTTTTCTCTCTCTCTTTTTTTTAATGATAGGTGAGAAACCCTACCGTTGCAACATCTGTGGGGCCCAGTTTAACCGGCCAGCCAACCTGAAAACCCATACTCGAATTCACTCTGGAGAGAAGCCCTATAAATGCGAAACCTGCGGAGCCAGATTTGTACAGGTGAGTGGGGAGGCGTGGTGAGCAGACCCCAGCAGGCTCTGCACTCTGGTGAGTGGGAGGAGGGTGTGCAGCCCACCCCAGCAGAGCCTTTCACGCTGTGCTCCTCCTTAGGTGGCCCATCTCCGGGCCCACGTGCTCATCCACACCGGGGAGAAGCCGTATCCCTGTGAAATCTGCGGGACCCGCTTCCGGCACCTTCAGACTCTGAAGAGTCACCTGCGTATCCACACTGGAGAGAAACCTTACCATGTGCGTACTCCTCTGTGGCTGGCTGGGGAGCAGTGGGACTGATGGCGCCAATCTCAGGCACACAGTGAGGTGTCTGCTGAACTAAGGGTTGGGAGTCCAGGATTAGGTCCTGATTATCAAACACACCCTGCTGGACTTCAGCCTAGGTCTCTGTAAAGCAGAGGCACAGGCCTTAGGAAAGCAGCCCAGCCCGTGGATGCATAGATCGGAGGCCCTTTCACTCATTCCACAAATACTTACTGGGTGCCTACAGCACAGCTGTACCCTGAGGGAGCAGTACATTTGAGAGCAGCTGAAGTGTCTGAAAAGGAGCTATCTTACAAGTAGGAGGAGAATCGGAAAAATGTGATGTTATTAAGAAAAAACAAACAAAAAATCAGAGAAAGGCCACTTCAAGAAAGTAGAGAGGGCCAGCTGTAGAGCACAGTGCTATGACCAGGCCACTAGATCTGTCTGTCCCACAGCAAGATCTCAGCAAACTATGGCCTGCAGGCTACTTTTTAAATATTCCATGAGCTAAAAATGAGTTTTAATATAAAAAATAGTATTTTGTGAGACTGTTATATGAAATTTAAATTTCAGTGAACATAATGCTATTGGAACAGAACTGCGCTGGTTTATTTACGTTTTGTCCAATCACTGTGGGTGGGATGGGGCCCAAGAGAGAATGGTTCACCCACATCTCAGGGGTTACCCTGCAAATTCTGGTTCACGTGTTTATAAGGCTTTGAGCAAATATCTGCTTGCTTATTATTTGTTCTTGGGCAAATTATTTATCTTCATAGTGCCTTAATGTCCTCATATATAAAATGAACCTGAAAATAGCCCTTCCCTTATAGAGTGGTAATATTAAGTTAAGCAGTTCAGGATAGGTCATGCACATAATGAGAATACAACAAGTATCTTCTGTATCCTGATTTGCTAGAATTTTAGATGTAGAAGATATCAGAGTTGAAGATGGACCTGGGTCTCCTAATACCAGGGCTCTTTACTCACTGACTTGCTCATTTTATTTATTAATTTCCTTTTCTTTTGTTTTTGTTTTGTTTTGTTTTGTTTTTTGAGACAGGGTCTCACTATGTAGTTGAGACTGACCTGGAACTCACTATGTAGCCCAGGATGGTCTCGAGCTCATAGCAATCCTCCTGCCTCAGCCTCCCAAGGGCTGGGATTATTGGTGTGCGCCACCATGCCTGGCCTATGTATTAATTTCCTAAATCTATTTATCCTTTTACCTTAAAACATATTCTGTATCTGAATATAGTTTAGAAAACTTATTCTTTTAGAATAGTTTTAGATTTAGACGAAGTTTGCAAGGGTTATAACAGAAAATTCCGTTTTATTTGACATCTTCCACAGTTTGATATATTTGCCACAACTAATGCAGTAGTACAAGTCTGTATTGCATTTGGATTTGCTCACTGTTTATCTAAACGTGCCTGTCTGTGGACCCAGGGTCGGATCTAAGTCACTCCATTACATTTAGTCCATTTTACTTTGAAGTAACTTTTTCCAGCAGCAGTATTACCACGCATTCATCAAATCAAAGTAAAACGCAGCTCTCCTTGCTAACGCTTTTCTGACAAACCTAAGAGATATGTCCTAGTAAAGAATATAAGTCTGATAGAAATATCCTAGAGTCTAGACTATCCATGAATTTAGATTGGTCTGGTACATCTGTCTAAATGCATTCAGTTTATTGCATACCTCTCTCCTAGGCACTAGGGAGATTATAAAGTTTAGTGATGAGGCTGCTTAATGCACAAGGACGGCTGTGTGACAAGGCTATAAATCTGGAATCCGCAGGAAAGAGGGGTTCTTCTTATCCTAGAGAGATTCAGAAACGCCTCCTCGCTTAGGGGAGTCGGCACCTGAACGATGCCTTTGGGTAGGATTTGCATCCCTGCCGTTAAATCAGGTCGAGCCAGGGGAGGGCGCGGGTGGCACCACAGTGCTCACGTCCGGGTAGAAGCCCAGGGAGGAGCCGCGCGAGTCCCTCCCCAGGCACTTTGCCTTCTCTGGGGCTTGGGTTGCCTGACAGCTGACAGTCTGCTTCTGCTGCCCTCCAGTGCGAGAAGTGTAACCTGCATTTCCGCCACAAAAGCCAGCTGCGACTTCACTTGCGCCAGAAGCACGGCGCCATCACCAACACCAAGGTGCAGTACCGCGTGTCGGCCACCGATCTGCCTCCGGAGCTCCCCAAGGCCTGCTGAAGCGCGGAGCGTCGTCCGCGCTTTCCTCTCCAGCCTCTCCTGGGCATCATGGTCGACCCGCGGGTACTGCGACACTTTCCGGCGTTCATCCCATGCTGCAGTGCCTCTTTCATCCACTAGTGCG